CGACCAGCTGCAGTCACCCTGAAAAGTGGGACGTGAGCACAGACCTGCTGCTGACAGCCTGCCTCAGACCTCAGCTCCATCACTAGCTGTGTGACCTTGGGCAAGTCACTCAACCTGTCTCCATTTTGACATGTGCAGAACTGGGAGAGTAACTTTTACCTCCCAGGGTTGATTTAGGATCAAGGGGTTGTAAAGCATGAAGTCAGTGTCCGGCTCTATAGTCAGTGCTGTTTTTACGTGGCCTCTGTGTTTGTGGATTGTGGAGAAAGTCTTGGTCCTCAGGGTCAGAGGTGTGGACTCAAATGCACCAATCTTCTCAACATCTGCAACGCTCTCTGCCTTCACAACCCAACTCTGGGTCATTCCCAGGAGAATTAGGTTCCCTTTTCTTGGGATTTCCGCATTGTAATGCTTACACATCTATCTAGCTAGAGTGTCAGAGGTACTTTTGAGGTTTCTTCTACCTTGTATTCTACTCATGTTAGGTTGACTCACATGAAAGTGCCATTTTTAGGCCAACATGATTGGAAATGAGCAGTTTCATAGGGTCAGCCTCATTAATGCACCGAGTTAGACTATGAGGGGAGTCAGCTTGGCATTTCCCTCACTCTACTGCTGCCCTGCCCACTAAAGGCCTGAGATACTTTAACACAGTACTGCTTCAAAACACACGCAGGACTTCTGATCAAACCAGGATGCTGAACCTTCAGAACTGAGGCACAAACCCTGGACAGCGCCCCCACCCACCCACAGGAGTGGCTCCCTGCAGGGACCTGCTCGTTTGGCCTTCTGTCTCTGTCACTCTTTCTGGCAAACCAGGCTGTCTGGGTTTCCTTGGCAACAACTGGATCTGAGGGATCTGAGGAGCACAAGGGATGTCTGGGGCTGCCCACAGCCCACTCGCAGCTCCATCTGTCCTGAGACAGGTGAGAAAACGCCCTGTGGCTGCCTACCAAGTTACCCCGTGATTTTTCCCAATATCCCGAGAAATGAAAAAGTACTAATATTTCCTAGGCTGAAAGGTGATCCAGAAGGGCTAGACATTTGTCTGGAGGGCAGAGGACAGGGAACAAGACCTGGGCCCAGGTCTTGTAAGTCACTGTGGGGGATTCTGAGCAATCCTTTCCTTCAGGACTTTAGGCTCCCCAAAGGCATAATGAGGTCAGGCTTGGTTATCTACAAGGGCCTCCCGACTCAGCTATTCTGGATTCAGTGACAGCAACTGGTCATTGACTCACCACCAGAACTTTTCATAGCGGGAAGTTTGCAGGACTTAGCTGCCGTCAGAAAGCTTCCAATATCATTGGAGAGATAGGGCCGATTTGTGACTGTGGTAGTAACAGAGATTCACATGGCTGAGGGAGACTTCCAGGAGCAGTTAATGTGCCCGGGGAGACTGAGCCGGGTAAAGGGAAGAAGAAGGGGCTTTCCTGTAAAGGCCTGTGTGGTGGGGTGGGGGGGAGGCTAACAGCAAAGGCAAAGGTGCCCAGGTAGGACTGTGTGACACTGAGTTCTGATCCCAGGGTCCCCGAGCAGTAGGAACCTGTGCAGGGTGAGGTCCAACGAGCAGACTAGAAAACCCTTGAATGCTAGGGGAGAGTGCTTGTTCCCCGTCGTCTTTAGGGAGCTCCGAGATCTGAGGGAGGGAGGAGGAGGACGGAAGCGGATGCAGTCCGGCGGTGCTGACTCTTCAGATGCTCCAAGGGCGGGTGACGTGGCCGATCCAGAGAAGACCTGGACAGAGCCCAGGGACAGTGAAGGGGCAGGATAACTGGGGACTCTGGCACTCCACGCATTACAAATTTTCTTGTTCACTTACTATGTGCCAGGCATGCCCCAAGGTGCTGTATGAAGGAGAAGCTTCCACGGCCAAGGACAATGTACTCTGACCAAGTCAAGATGCTCACAGCTCGGTGTCCAGTGTCCCCTCCAGGAACCCGAACCGGAAGCACTGCGGTTTAAGTGCTCTGGTGGGCGGCCCATGAGACAGGAGCAGCACACGTGTTGCTCAGGCCATGTCTGCAACGGGCCTGACAGGCACTTTTCAAAGCACCACTGGTCGGGGACAGGGTGGCCAGGAGTCAGAGAGGAGGCTGGAGACCAGGCCCTTCCGGGTCAGGGGAGCCCAAGGCTGCCACTCCGGTCCCGGCCGCTAGGGGAGCCGGGGGATGCTGATGGCGCCTTCCCAGAGCCGCAGGGCCGGGT